TGGACTGTCACTTCGGCCTAGTATACTGGAGTGACTGCTCTCGTGGTGCCTTAACTGACGCCTTTTCTATTCGGACCGGGAAATGCGTTGTTTACTATTCACTAAGTTAATATATTACTACTTTATACTTCTTAAAGTTTTCTACAAAGCGCGAGGTTGAACAGCATTGAACACCAAATGAGAAACCCTTGACAGTGTCTCTTAAAAAGAACTTTCCACATGCTTCAACAGGTGTTGTTGCGAAAAAACCGCATTGTTCTAGACGTAAAAATGAAGTCCACAGCCCAGTGCGGAAACATAGGAAGCAAATCGAAGCTGAAAGCTGCATGGGAGCGTGCCCGAGTGTGTGCCAGCGTGGTAATTGTCCAATAAAGAATTATACTATCCGAAGAACCAATGACGCTGGCAATTTTAGAGGCGTGTGTTTTTAGAATATATTGTCACGAATAACAAGTGATGAGGCGGCGCATAACTGAGTAAACTGAACGTTTAAGGGGCCAACTTGTGCCCAAAACAAAAAGGAAACCGAGGATAACAACGGAGCGTCGCGGGCGTCGAAGTCGGCGTAACAGCTGGATCCAACGCTGGGGCAAAAATGACTTTCGCTCGCCACGTGAAGCTCCTTATGTACACGCGTGGGCTTCTGGAATCATCGGCGTAGAATGTTCGACGCGTAAAACATTCGAACCTCGAACAGGCAAGAGAATTCTCGAAGTTACTGGAACACCTAATTGCAGGAAAAAAATAAAAGATGCGTCGCTTTCAGGAATCGAACCCTGACTTTTTGGGTGGGAGGCAGGCACAATAACCGTTAGGCCACGCGCGCTCTCGTCCTTACTAACTTTATTTCACCAGACGCTTCAACACATTCACAGCAATGACAATCTAGAGAAACCAGATAGTCCCTGGCTTGCGACTATAGTTTAAAATGGCTTCATAGATACCGTCCTGTCCTGAATAAGCACCCACTCAGGCTTTTCGGTCAGCGTTTCATACACTTCTCTTACATAAATAGCACTCTCAATTAAATATTTCCTTGCTTGACGAGGGTTTACATCCGCAGTTCATACAGCCATCCCGGACCTCCATAGGTTGTGGAGGTCCAACAGAATAAACATGTTTTTAGGCACACCCCCTTCGTTGTCGATAGATACGAATCCAATGCCATAATTTGTTAATGACAGGTCCTTTTTCAGGTACGCTCCGAAATATCCCACAAAAAAAAAAAAAAAACAGCATCCCAACAGTCTATAAAGGTATGTTCAAGAGTTTCGGGTTTTTGACATAAAAGACAGTTGACTGACCATGACACAAAAAGGCCGTTCTCCTACAGCCAGGGCTTAACGGAAAGGGTGCCACTGCGTAGGTGGATGTCTTTCCAGGTGGCCTAACCGGCATTCGTTTAAGCCTTTTTAAAACATCGTTTCGTGGGCCCCCACAATATAAGGAGCGGTACAAGGGTCTCGGCAGCACGGTGTCTACCAGATCTTCATATAGCAGCTTTCGCGCGACAACACTTAAATACTCCAATGAAAAACGCACTTTAAAATACTGAAAGGCCTTGACCAATTCATACAAAAAAAAAAAATGGCCCCGCACGTTGAAATGTATTAGTAGAAACAACAAACTCATGTACTGCACGACACCGTCTGACCTGCAGAACAGTTCGCAAGAAATAATGTTTTTTTTTTATCTCCAGAAAAAGATAAAACGAGAAACCGACTGCCGAAGAAACAAATGAACAACTCCAAGCCCGCCGGTTCGCACGGAACGAAACAAATTAGTGCGACTGCTTCGTTCCCATCCCGAACCCCATACGAAAACTGCAAACAACCTACGTAATTCTGAACATTCACTCTCGACATGGACAGCACTTGTAGCACATGCCGTACTTTTGCCATAATAAGCAGGTTGCAGACTAATGCCTGAGCAAACATTGAATGATCTCTACCACCCCACTTTGCTGTTTTTGCCCGAAATTGCTCCGTCTGCTCCCTCGAACACTCTCCGGTATCACGATAAAGTTCTAGTGGCACGCCAAGGTACTTGGGCGGCAAAGCAGTAGAGTGAATGTTTTCGAAAAGAACTGGTGTGGATTCCCAACATCCGCGTCAGAATCCAACGGAATGGCTCCAATTTATGGCACTACCTGCCATCTTGCAAAACAAGGCAGTTTCTTTCAAAATCTCTCTAGCACTTTCTGTATCCTCACAAAACACAGATATGTCGTCTGCGTAAGAAAGGAGCTTGACCTCACTTGAAACAAGCCTAATATCACGTATCCTTTAACTGTAAAGAATCTTTAAACAAAAATGCTCGGGATAAAAAGCGAACAACGAAAAAGATAAAGGGCATCCTTGTCGGACCTAGGACCGCACTTCAAAATTTTCACTCACTTCCTTGTTGACGATAACTCTCGGGAAACAGTTTGCATAGGGAATTTTTACACCATCTAAAATAACAGAACCTACATTCACGTGTTCCAATATGAAAAAAAAGTATATCGTGTGCTACCCTATCAAAGGCCTTTTCTAAATCAAGTTGCAGCATAGCCACTCTATCACCGAAAGCGTCGCAGTATTCTAAAATACTTCTGACCACGTGAATAAAATTTCTGGGGGTTTTACGTGCCAAACCTACGACGGGCATCTGGCACGCCCCAGCGGAGGAGTGAGGATTAATTTCGACCACCTGGGGATCTTTTGACGTGCAACCGAAAGCTCGGTTACACGGCGCCTTCTCCGCAATAAGCCTCCGTCATATTGCGGGCACCTCGGCCGGGATTTGAACCCGCCATCTGGGGATCCGTAGGCCGGCGCTCTCGCCTCGGAGCCACCGAGGCGGCTGCCACGTGAATATTGGTAAAGATTGAGCGCCCCGTACTGCCACACGTTTGGTGACGCCCAACAATATATGTTATATACATTGCATTCTTATCGCCAAAACTTTCATAAAAATCTTATAATCTACGATGGTAAGGCTTACTGGGCGATAGAATTTAACCAACAACTGTTTTACAGGTTCTTCACTCTTGGGAATCAAAATGGTATGGGTTCTCCGGAAAAATGGTGGCGCTTCTTTTTACTCGTGCGCCTCTGGTAACACCCGGTGTAAAGCCTCAGCCATAGCTTCTTTAAATTCCTTGTAAAAAAGCTGCCCCCAAGCTATCGGGTACGGGATACTTTCTTGTGCTTAGATCATCAATTGCTCTTTTTATTTATAGTAAACTTATCGGCACTTCGAGGACTGTCTTAACCTCTTCTTGATTTAGTTTTGGCAAAAACGGTAAACACTCTTTTTCAAAACCTCCCTCAACACGTATCTTGTGCCCTCAAAGATCTCGATAATATTCAAAAAAAGCTCGTTCAATTTTTTTTTATCACGTGTGATTTCGTTGCCGTACTGTATCTCTTTTATTTCGTTGTGTATAACATTTTTTTTTCATCACTCAGTGAGCGCTTAGTCATTGTTTTTCCCACCTACAATTGTTCGGATCGAGCTTTTATCGCCACTCCTTGGTAGTTATCTATATCGATAAGCACTAGTTTGCTCTTGATTTCGCTGACTTCTTTCGTAAACTGTCACGGTTGAGCGCTCTCCTTACATAACAAAAACCGGAGCTGTCATTGCAGTACTTTTTCTTTTGCACTTCCTTGCCCTTTAAAAAAAACTCGACCGTTCTATTGCATTAGTTTTTACTTCTTCCTTAAATTGCTCCCACATTGCGCCAAAGCGTCCAGCCTCAGCCTCCAGCAGCTTTTGTGTGTTTTCCTTGACTCCGCTCACAAAGGCCTCATCTATCAAAAGCCTATCATGAAATTTCCATAGGTCACAGATAAAGGCCGTTTTATTTTGTTTAGATGCTAGCGTGAACATTACCCAGCTGTGATCACTGAAATATACATGTTTAACGTTCATAGTTCTGGCAGAGTGGGACAAGTTCTGCCGATATATAAGCCCTGTCAAGTCTGGCGTTGATTGCACGTTGGTGATGCGTGAACTGGGGTACATTACACTTCGACTGAACCCGCCCAACGTCCTCTAAGTTACATTCTTGCACCAAGGCAGTCAATAACATCGCGCTATGATCAAGCACCGACAACTGCTGTACTCCTTCTGCAAAGCACACATAGTTAACATCTATCAGGAAGATAAAAAGTTTATGAGAGTTAAAATAAAGGCAACTTGTTCACAAAAACAAAAAAACGCTCACTCTGTTGATATGGCGCGTAGACACATATTATACGCCATTACTTATCGGAAAAGAAAAAATCGCATACAATCAAACGCCCATTCATACAAACAACAACAGGCGCACCACAATTTCTACGGAATTGCGCAAAAATAAAGCACAACCGCCAGATCTACCAACAGAGTGCCATACACATACATTATAGCGAGCTCTGAAAGGCTGAAGCAAGCGGCTCGTTTGCTCTTGGCTCTCTACTTTTGTATCTTGCACACTTACTACATCAAGGTCGTTATCCAGAAAAAGGCGACTAAGCTGGTACTGCCTGCGCCTGGTCGCCAAGCCCCGTTCATTCACGGTGGCGACACGTAGGGCTGTATCGAGATTATGTAGAGTGCACCCCAAACTTAACGCCGCTATAGGGTTCTCAAAATTTGAGCTCATGTTAGCTACTTACAGCTAAATGTGTCACCAAAAAGTTCAAGATGCCTTCTCAAAATGGGATAGTAAGCGAAAACCCAAACATTCTTCGGATATTTCAATCGGCCGCCGCAAGGACTGTCAGAAACGGCAAATGCCGTGGCGGCGTTAAGTTGAGGCGCACTGTACCTGCCCTTTTTGGGTGAGTACAACAGAGATGCTTGGTGCTCACCTCCGCTCTGTGAGAGACGCCGAACGACTCACTGTCCCAAAGCGCTGGCCGGCCATTTTCGCCAGCCGAAAAGTCCAAGACGCTACAGGAGGTCTCATTCTCGGCCACGTCGTGTTTATGTCCCTCTAGAATTCCGAGTGCCTTGCAGAGCGCGAGCCCTCACCACTGCGTGGACGGCGTCACCATCGGACTTCGTTCCGGTGGTATCTTCCGCTTCGCTCTCAGGCTTGACCGCCGTGTCAGAGGACCCTTTGGGGACGGCTCATCGGGGGCAGCCGCTTCGGAGTTCTGGCTTACTTCTTCACTAAGTTTACGAACCCGCTTGGGGACCGGGGCCATGGGGACCTCTGACTCGACGTCCCTAGGTTCAGCCCTGTCAGCATGCGGCGTCTCGATAGCTGAAGGCTCCGTCATGCCGACGTTTTCCGCACTTTGTGCACCACCCGCCGACGTCCCCGCAGGTAGCCTACCGCGGTCACCGTCGCTTTGACTTTCGTCACCGCTCCCCAAAGGTCCAACGGGTGCTGGTGCCTGCACTGGTAGCTGACTCGCTGCTTCGCTAGCAGCTTCCTCGGTGTCAGCCACGTCCATGAGGTGCTCCGAAATATCGTTGCTCCTCACGGGCCCTGCGACGCTCGCGTAAGTGCGGACGGATTGGCTCTCACTTTGGCCGAAACTTCTGCAGGACGCACAGCGTGGTACTTTGCACTCCCGGCGTATATGGCCTTTGCCCTTACACCGAAGGCAAACCGGCGCTCTGCCCGGCACCAACACCAACACCAGGTCACCAGCGATGCGCAGCTGGTGGGGGATGTCATCCACCGTGAAGCCGGCTGCCAGCTTGGGGGTCACCGAGCGTGTCGTCGACCCCATGCCCATACAGCCTGGGACGTGCCACTTGTCTCTGCTGACACCCGTCACCCTCTCAAAGGGTGTCAGGGCTACACGCACGTCTTCATCGTGGACGTGGTCCAGCAGCCAGTGGAGCTTGAGCCGCGTGTCCTGAGTATTCGGGGTCTCCATGACGCAGCGGCCTTCCTTGACTGTAAAGCCTACGGCTGGGAGCTACTTCTTCTTGCCCTCGGCGCTCCTGAAGGTAAGAGCCCACACGTGGTTGTACTGGTACGCCCCCAAGGCGAGCACATCAGGGAGAAGTGCCGCACGGGCCAAGGCGCCTCGGAAATGTTCCAGGCGGTAGGGCCAGGCTCGCACGTCGGCATGTAATAGAAACGTGTTCTGGACAGACGAGCCAGAAAACAGCGTAGGCATTATCACTTCGTAGACCTGCGATGAAGAGTCAGCGTTCCTGCTTCCACGGCCAGAAAGGGCCGCTGATACCGCTCCGATGGAGCTCATGTCCGTCCGATCTGCTCGGCAGCCGGAAATCGAATCTATTAGGCCACGGGCGCGCTGCCTACTCGGCAAGCTGCGCGCGCGGCACTACAGCCCCTTTAAACAGTGCATCTCCCCGATGCAAAAGCAAAACAAAACAAAGCAAATAAAAATAACGGTAAACTAAAGAGCCATTTGGAGCACATACGGTTCACAGTCCTATCGAGCGAGTGCGGCTTCAGGCGCACAACGTGGACGACTTCGGGTCGTGGTGGGCGGCGTGATGATGTTCTTGTTCCGTCGGGCATCACCTCGTAGTTCAGATCTCCAAGTCGACAAAGTACCTTGTAGGGTCTGAAATACCGTTTCAGGAGTTTCTCGCTCAGACCACGGCGGCGAATCGGAATCCAGACCCATACCCTGTCTCCGGGCTGGAAGTGGACGTACTGATGACGAAGGTTGTAGCGGCCAGTGTCGACACGTTGTTGGACTTTAATACAGAGTCTGGCGAGCTGACGGACTTCTTCTGCTCATTGGGGAACCACCTGGGCGTTGCCGCTTCCGTCGACAGCCGGTTCGTGGGGTAACATCGCGTCCAGCACTGTCGTTACTTTGCGACTATGAACCAGTTGAAAAGGTGTCATCCCGGTGGTCTGTTGTACGTCCGTGTTGCAGGCAAATGTGACGTACGGCAACACCTCGACCCATGTCTTGCGCTCCACGTCGACGTACACGGTGATCATGTCGGCGATGGTCTTGTTGAGTCTCTCCGTCAGCCCGTTGGTCTGCGGGTGGTACGCCGTGGTGCGACAATGGCTGGTGTGGCTGAGACAAAGTATTTCTTGCGTCAGCTGGGCCATGAACGATGATCTACGGTCAGAGATCAGAATTTCGGGAGCCCCGTGCCGGAGGACGACGAACTCGATGAAAGACTTGGCGACTTCCGCAGCAGTCTGTGAAAGAAGGCCTTTCGTTTCGGCGTACCGCGTGGCATTATCTGTGGCAACGATTATCCAGCGGTTTCCCAACGCTGACGGCGGAAAAGGGCCAAGTTGATCCATTCCGATCTGCTGGAACGGTGCGGTCTGGGGAGCAATCGGCTGCAGGAGACCTGCCGGCTTCGTCAGCGGTTTCTTACGTCGTTGGCACTCGTGGCAGAATCAGGTGTAAAGGTTGACGGCTTTGGGGAGCTAGGGCCAGTAATACTTTTCACGAATACGGGCCAGTGTTCGGCTGTAACCGAGGTGTCCGGACGTCGGGTCGTCGTGACATGCTTGAGAGATCTCCTCTCGAAGGTCGGTCGGGATTACCAGCAACCACGGTGAGTTGTTGTCCCCGAAGTTCTCTTTGTAGAGTACACCTAGTCGCATGGTGAAGGTGGGTAGTACTCGTGAGAAGACACCTGGCACAGGCTCCCGCCCTCTTCCAGGTGCTCGATTAATGCGCGCAGCTCAGGATTGTCCCGTTGACGTCGCGCTACGTCGTCGGTGTTCACTGGTCCTAGGAAGCACTCGTCGTCATTGTCGTCGCTGCAGGCGGAAGTGGTTTCGACGGGGGCTCTGGACAGGCAGTCGGCATCGCTGTCCTTCCGACCTGACTTGTAGACCACAGCCATGTTGAGCTCCTTAAGTCAGAGTCAACATCGAGCGAGGCGACCTGACGGGTCCTTGAGGTTCGAAAGCTAGCAAAGCGAGGGGTGGCCCGTCACCACGTGGAACGGTCTCCCGTACAAGTACGGACGAAACTTCGGGATTGCCAGACAACTGCAAGGAATTCTTCTCAGTCATGGAGTAATGTTTCTCTGCCTTGGACAGTGTCCGACTTGCGTAGCCGAAGACTCGCTCGATGACTTCTTCCATTTGGACCAGTACCCCGCACAGTCCTGCGTTACTGGCGCCCGTGTGAATCTCCGTTTCCGCATCCTGATCGAAATGTCCAAGAACAGGAGGAGTCTGGAGTCGTCGTTTCAGCTCGTCGAGTACCTGCTGCTGCTCCTCGGCCCATTCGAATTTCTCGGCGTCCTCCGTGAGGTTTGTGAGCGGTGCGGAAATTTGAGAGAAATCCCGAACGAAGCGTCGATAGCAGGCACAAAGTCCAAGGAATCTTCGCACGGCCTTCTTTTTTGTCGGCGCTGGAAATACCGTGATGGCGCGTCTTCTCGGGGTCTGTGCGGACGCCTTCGTTACTAACCACGTGGCCTAGGAACAACAGTTTGACATAGGCTATCCAGAACGTTGACGGCTTGACTGTGAGTCCGGCGGTCTGTATGGCTTGGAGAGCAGCTCGGAGTCGTCGCAAGTGCTCGTCGAAGTCACTTGAAAACCCTACGACGTCCTCAAGGTAGACAAGACAGCTCTGCCACTTCAGCCCTGCCAGTACTGTCCATAACACGCTGGAAAGTTGCCGACACCGTGCATAGCCCGAAGGGCATCATCTTGGACTCGCACAGTCAATCTGGCGTGGCGAAAGCTGTCTTCTCTCGGTCCCGTTCGTCGACTTCGATCTGCCAGTATCCGCGTTTTAGGTCCATCGATGAAACGTATCCAGAGTGGCGCAGCCGGTCTAGCGTGTCGTCGATTCGGGGGACTGGATAGACGTCTTTCTCCGTTACCACGTTCCGCTGCCGGTAGTTCACACAGAAGCTGAGCGTTCCGTCCTTCTTCTTAACCAGCACAACTGGAGAGGCCCACGGACTGCTTGAAGGCTGGATTATGTCGCCGCTCAGCATTTCTTGCACTTGTTCTTGGATGTCCTGCCGTTCTTTTATGGAGACTCTGCACGGCGATTGGTGCACAGGGAACGCGTCGTTCTTGGTAACGATGCGATGCTTCTCAACTGCGGTTTGGCGCACCTTCGGCGACGTCGCGGAGCAGCTGCTGTATTCGGCGAGGTCACTCAGCTGCCGCCGTTTGGGGCCTGGAAGCTTGGGGTTAATGTCGAGCTGTGCTGGCGGCGTAATGTCTTGCTGAGGTGGCGGTGATTCTTCAGCCATCGCGGCGATTTCGGCGGAGTTCCGAATTTACTCGACGTGGCCCACAGCCATACCTTTCGTGAGGTGTTGCGTTTCTTGTCAAAAGTTCGTCATGAGGACAAAGGTGCGCCTATACTGAAGTTTAGGCCCTTGTCTTGTGACGCCTCTTCCTTTTCCCTGGAGCAATTGAAGGTTGCCCGCCAGAACAACTTCGCCGCAGGTAGCTGCATCGGCCACGACGGGGACGACAACACTTGATCGGGGAGGCAGGTTCACGTGGTCGGCAGCGATTCGGACGGCGGCTGACGCTGTTTGGGGTTTCTCTGAAGGCGGAATAGACGTCCGCTGAGTCAATCCGTTTTCACCAAGGTCCATGACGGCGCTGTATTCACACAGAAAGTCCATGCCGAGAATAACGTCTCTGGCACAGTCTTGTAGAACAACGAATTTCAAAGGGCACGTCTCACCGTGGATCTTGATGCAAGCGATGCATCTTCCGATTGGTGTGATGAGGTGCCCTCCGGTGGTTCGTATTTGAGGTGCATCCCACGGCCTTGTCCCTTTTCCCAGACGGCGAGAGAGCCTCCACTCAAGAATGAGTAGTCTGTTCCGGTGTCCACGAGTGCCGATGCGTCGAGGCCGTCGATGACAACATTTAGGTTGTTTGACACCGTTGCCGGGGCGTCGGTGCGATGAGGGGCGTCGGGAGTGTAGGTGCGCTCCGGCGTCCTTGAAGGCTCTTCGCTTCGGTTGATTACAGCAACGTCCTCTCCAAGCGTGCCGCACCTAGTTTTTCCGGTGACGCAGGGGAGACAGGCTCTCTCGGTGAGGTCGTGGCGCTGGGGACGCTGAACGTCGTGGCGATGGGGAGCGGGCTTCACGGCGGAGGGACGACACTGGGGAGGCCAACGTCGGAAGTACTCCTCGATATCGCGAGGGCTTTCGCCGTGCCATGGGCGCGGGTCGTTCGGGTGCAACCCGCGCAGCCCCAGTTATCGGTAGGGGCATCGACGGTAAATGTTGTCGGCTTCACCGCAGTGACAGATGGGTCGACGATCCGCTGTCCGTCGGTTTTCCTTAATGCACGTTGGTCACCGCGGTTTCACTGATGTAGTTCGTCATGGCGTTGGGTGTTCGCCTGCGTTGGTGAGTCCTGTTGTGGCGCCACCGGGTAACTTTGAGTAGCTGGCGGCGGTCGTCGGTCAACTGCAGCGTAGGTCAGGGTGGGCTCCTTGGCTACTGCTACGCTGGCAGGAGCCTCCGCTTGAATTGCCCGCTGAACTTCTTCGTGCACCATTTCGGCTATTGACACCAAAGCCGACTGGTTGGCTGCAGGCAGCAGCTTCCTGAGCTCTTCCCAGACGACGTCTCGAATGACCTGGTTAGTGCCTGGGATACTGAAGCCAAGGTCGCAGCTAGACGGCGCGAGGGCAGCGAGGCTGGGAGTTCGATGGTAGTGACTGGCTCGGGCATGCAGGGCACGCCCGATGTTCGTCGCCTCGGT